GGATTTTGACACTGATACAGACAAGCTAGGGAACATTTCCATCACAGTAAAGGATCCCTTTTACAGACACGCCCACCTCTCTTCCTTTCCACCCTCCTCCCTGGTGACCCTTAACCTGTTCTCCACTTCCAGAAGTTTGCATTTCAGAGTGTTATATAAACGGAATTATACAGGACATAACCTTTGGGGATGGTTTTTTTCACTCAGCATAATTCTCTGAGGACTCATCCAAGTTGTTGCTTGCACTGGAAATTATTTTTATTGCTGAGTAGTATTCCACGGCATGGATGTATCACAATTTGTTTCACCAGTCACCCGTTAAAGGACATCTACGACACTGTAAAGCAACTATACTCCAATAAAAATTAATTAAAAAAATAAAGGACATCTGGTTGTTTACAGATCTGGAATATTATGACTAAAGCTGCTGTGAACATTTATGTGCAAGTTTTTGTGTGAACATAAGTTTTCATCTCCCTGGGGTAGATGCCCAGGAGTGCAATTGCTGAGTCTTATGCCAGTTGCTTGTTTAGTTTTATAAGAAACTGTCAGTTGGTTCTCCAGAGTGGCTGTTCCATTTTACTTTCCCACCAGCTATAGGTTGATCCCGTTGCTCTGCATTCTTGCCAACATTTGGTGTTGTTACTGTGTTTCAGCAATTTTGGTAGGTGCTTCGTGGCATCTACTGGGGTTTTAATTTGCAGTTCTCTAATGACTGATGATGTTGAGTATCTTTTCACATGCTAATCTGCCATATCCTCTTCAGAGAACATTTGTTCATGTTCTCCATTGTCTAACTGGATATTTAAAAAAACTGTTGAGTTGTAAGAGTTCTCCATCTATTCTAGATCGTAGTCCTTTGTTGGATATGCTGTTGGCAGGTATTTCCTCCCAGTATGTAGCCTGTCTTTTCATCCTCTTAACATGGTCTCTTGCAGAATAAAAGTTTAATATTTTGATGAAGTCCAATTTATCAAACTTTCCTTTTATGGACTTTAGGTTTTTGGTGTCAAGTCTAAGAAGTCTTTGCTTAGTTTAGCCCTAGGTCCCAAAGATTTTCTATTTTTTAAAAAAAGTGTTATGGTTTTCCATTTTATGTTTAGCGTTATGATCTATTTTGAGTTAATTTTTATATAAGGTATGGGATTTAGCTTGAGGTTCTTTTTATTTGCCCATGGATAACTGATTGCTCAGCACGTTTATTGAAAAGACTATCCTCCCTCCAGTGAATTACTTTCGTACTTAAAAAAAAAAATCAATTGAGCATATTTGTATGGGTCTATTTCTAGATTCTCTGTTCTGTTCCATTGACCTTTTGTGTCTATGCCTCCACCAGTACCACACTGTCTTGATTAGTGTAGCTACATAATAAGTCTTTATACTCAGTAGAGTGGTTTCTCCTACTTATTCTTCTTTTACAAGATAGTTTTAGCTATTCCAAGGCCTGTGCCTTAGAACTTTTAGAATAAGCTTGAATATGTCTACAAAAACCTTGCTGGGATTTTGATAGAAACTGCATTAAACATGTAGATGAATCTGGGGAGAATTGACATTTTTACTATTTTGTGTCCTCTGATCCATGAACATGGTATATCTCATTTATTTAGGTCTTTGATTTCTTTCACTGGCATCTTTTAATTTTCAGCATATAGATCCTATACACATTTTTGTTAAACTTACACCTAAGTATTTTTTTTTTCCTTTTGGAGTGATTGTAAATGGTATTGTGTTTAAAATTTTGGTTCCCACTTTGTTTATTGTTAATATATAGAAATGTGATTAAATTTTGTGTGCTGATCTTATATCCTAAGACGTTGCTGAAATCAGTTGTTTTACTTTTTTTTTTAATAGATTTTTTGGAATTTTCTATGTAGACAGTTACATCATCTGTAAATAGGGATACTTTTATTACTTTTCAATCATATGCATTTTATTTCTTTTTACTGCATTATTGCCATGTCCAGAACTTCCAATACAGCCTTTAAAATTTTAATCAATGTAAATTTCTAGAGATTTGCTAAAACCTACTGGCCTGAATGGGGTCCATCATTCTCAAACAGATGCCTTTTCTTTTCTTTTTGTTTGAATTTTATTTTATTTATTTTTTATACAGCAGGTTCTTATTAGTTATCTATTTTATAGATATCTATTTTAAATTAGATTCTTTTAGTTATCTATTTTATACATATTAGTGTATATATGTCAATCCCAATCTCCCAATTCATCACACACACACACACACCCCGCCCCCACCACTTTCCTCCCTTGGTGTACATATGTTTGTTCTCTACATCTGTGTCTCTACTTCTGCCCTGCAAACCGGTTCATCTGTATCATTTTTCTAGGTTCCACACATATGCGCTAATATACGACATTTGTTTTTCTCTTTCTGACTTGCTTCACTCTGTATGACAGTCTCTAGATCCATCCACGTCTCTACAAATGACCCAATTTCGTTTCTTTTTATGGCTGAGTAATATTCCATTGTATATATGTGCCACGTCTTCTGTATCCACTCGTCTGTCGATGGGCATTTAGGTTTCTTCCATGACCTGGCTATTGTAAATAGTGCTGCAATGAACATTGGGGTGCACGTGTCTTTTTGAATTATGGTTTTCTCCGGGTATATGCCCAGTAGTGGGATTGCTGGGTCATATGGTAATTCTATTTTTAGTTTTTTAAGGAACCTCCATCGTGTTCTCCATAGTGGCTGTATCAATTTACATTCCCACCAACAGTGCAAGAGGGTTCCCTTTCAAGCAGATGCCTTTTCAACACTCTTCTTATCATCCAACCTGTTCAGATTCCATTCCCTGTAATTTGGATAAATAACTGATAACTGTCATCAGTGGTTAAGCTGCAAAGCTCCTTGAGGCAGCTGAGTGAGCTTTAACAAGCTAAGTGAAACCTGATTGTAAAAGCAAAACTAGTGTTAGGAAAATTATCTTTCAGACGGGACTTGGACACAGAGTCGTTCAGAGAATTACAATTTGAGGCTGAGTATGTGGTTTCTTCTTCCAGTTTTCCCCTCTTACCTCTAAATGGGGTAGCAAAAATTTTAAACTCTGAAAATATGAAATACCCTCAAAGTTACCTTATTCTTTTTTTTAAAAAAAAAATTTATTTATTTATTTATTTTTGGCTGTGTTGGGTCTTCGTTTCTGCGCGAGGGCTTTCTCTAGTTGCAGCAAGTGGGGGCCACTCTTCATCGCGGTGCGCGGGCCTCTCACTATCGCGGTCTCTCTTGCTGCGGAGCACAGGCTCCAGACGTGCAGGCTCAGCAATCGTGGCTCACGGGCCCAGCTGCTCCGTGGCATGTGGGATCCTCCCAGACCAGGGCTCGAACCCGTGTCCCCTGCATCGGCAGGCGGACTCTCAGCCACTGCGCCACCAGGGAAGCCCAGGAACACTTTCGTGATTTGACTTTTGATAAATAAAGAATTCTGTGCATCTTACTATGCTTTTAGTAACAGGCACTTAAAAATATTTGGACAACTCAAACTCTCTTCGTGTCTTAATTTTTTAAACAAAAGTGTAACCATTAATAACACTATTATTTATTTTTTAAATGCATATTTCCTATATTTTGTGTGTTGTATTTTTATATTTATACAATATACCTAACTGACCAAAGAGGGTTTAGAGCCATACAAAAAGGCAGAAAACTGGGTAGTGCTAGATCCTTTATAAATTTCAATATAAGAGGTCTTGGCAGTATACACATAGGTCCTTGTAGGCCTTAGGTATATACACAGGTACAACGCAGGTGCTCCTGCATATAATTTGTAGAAAATTTAAAATCTGTAATAAGAATCAAATTTCAGAGACTTGTTTTCTTTTTTGGTAGAAAACAGTGGCCAATCTACAGGCAGGTTAGTCATCGCTTTACTGATTTTACTGATTCAATGACTACCAGTAACTCTTTTGTCTTGTTCTTAGAATTGGAAATTGTCTGAGTACCACTCTCTCCATTGTGTGCAGTGAGTGGTGGAATCAGACCCTGGGATGTTGACTTAGCCTCTCTGAGCCTCAGTGTTCTTGTCTGTAAGTGGCAATGATGATTCATCTCACTGGCTGCAAGGCTTCAGTGAGATGACCCCGTCAAGGGCCTGGCCCATGGCTGGGTAGGGAGCGTGCCTCCAGTTACTGACTTCTTTCCTTCCTTTTCTTATACGTTGCCTTTGTTTCCTTTCCAGCCTCTCCCTGTCCCCCTCCTCTCTCTCTACCACAGACTGAGTACCACTCCCCATGCCTAAGAGAAGGGGACCCTCTATCCCAGCACTAGCAGAGGGGATCTGGGGAGCCTGTTGCCGAAGCTACCCCTCCCTTAATGTACCACCATGGCCTGATCACCTAGAGTAGGGCTGTGCACCAAACTCGGGGGGTTCTCACATGGTTTGTCATGTTGCAGTGGGAAAAAAGCTTCATGAGTGACCAGTACATTCTAGCAAATGGGGCTCAATAATGCATTTGCCATTCTGTAGCAGGATGGTAACCCATAGACAGAGTCCTGCACCCTCACCCTAAACACAAGATGGCAGCTGTGTGATGCGTATTTAGTTCTTCTGTGGTTGCAATGAGCTTAGAACCAGGACACTGCTTTGGGTACAACAAGCAACAAACACACTCTCATGATACAAAGCAATCACATTGTACATACAGGCATAGGTTTTTTTTTGTTTGTTTGTTTGTTTGTTTATCTTAAAGAATGGAACAGCAACTGTCTCAACATGTCACTTTGACAACCAACAGTGATCCCACATAGGTGAGTCTGGACTGAACACATGTAAACAGACTCTCTCTGTGAAGTTCATTTGCAAATGGCCACTTCAATCTCCAGCTAGCACAGGGGTCCCTGGTGACCCACTCTCACTCTGCTGTAAGATTGACAGGGCTGCAATGAACCCTTTCATAAAGAGACAGCAGTCAATTGCTGTCTGGCAGCATCGCTCAAAAGGTTTTCACTTTACGCAAACATCAAGGACTTTCTTCTCACTCCATCAGGCCTTTCTTGGAACTGCTTTGAAATATTCCTCCATGGAAATGTCAGCTACTCCTCCATACCATTTCTGAAGCCAGATATGTTCTATCTTCATCTTCATAAAGAACCATTCATACTGACGAGGCCACTTCCTCATAACTGGGTGTCTGCAGAAATAAAGACGTCACATTAAAGCTGTTCTCATCAGAGGGTGGGCTCTCCAGAGCACAGTGCCAGATGTATCCTTGGTCAGGTCACAGGGCCCTCCAGACGCCAGGCTTTGTTTAGGCTGAGACCTGCTCAAACCAGCTAGAGGCAGAAGCCAGGGAGCCAGGGTCAAGGTCTGGGGCAGCCTTAGGAGGGCAGGAAACTGTTGACACCACAGACTGGCAGACAGCTCAAGTCTTGAGCCAGGCAACTTTGTTCGAACTCCAGTCCAGCTGCTGGGATGCCTCATGGGCCGTTTGCTCTCTTAAACCTGCCCGGTCTCCTTCCCAGTCACATGGGGCGAGAGGGATGGTGGTCAGGTCACAGGGCTGCGTGGGCAGCAAATGACGAGAAACATAAAGCACCTGCATAGAGGATGTGCCCAGGGGACGGGGGCCATTGTTACCAGGAAGCATGACGAAAGGCTCTAAGCATTTCTATGTGAAATGCTGAATTTTAAGTCTGGGAAACAAATCAGTTCACGGGAAGATTTCCATTCCTGTAGAGGCCTACAACTGTGGCATCAAGCTGAGAACCAGCCAGCGTAGGCAGGGAACAGCCCTCACCTTCCGCCCTCTGTTTCTGACTTGCCTTCTCCCTCAGGCGTAGGCCTAAAAACATGCATCCTCCTTGAGGGCAGGGTCTGGCGCTCACTTTTTTAAAACTTCATAAAAATAGAAGTTTTATTTATATCTAAAAATGTTATAAACAAAATTCAAAGACCAAGTGTAAACTGGGAAAAACATTTGCAACAATGCCAGTGCAGTGATAGGTTGATGCCTTTTTAAAAAAAAAAAATTTTTTTTTTTCTTTGGAATCATTGCAAATTGACAGAGAGGTTGAAGGTACGGTATAAAGAACTTTTTTTTTTTTTTTTTCCCTAAACCATTTGAAAGTAAGTTGCTGATCTGAGGCCCCAAGGCTCCAAACACTCATGCAGCTGAGATGATAACATGACTGTTGTTACTTTAAGCCAACTAGTTTTGTATTTATAACCGGAACAAATTTTGGCCCCTGCAAGGGGAACGTAGGTACAGCAAATTCTAGTCCGTGAGGCCCTGGCTTGGGGTCCAGGCAGTAGGATGCTGGAAGGACCGCAGGAGACTGACCATGAGCCTTTAAAGAAGGTAAAGACAAGGTGGTTGGATGTGCGTAAAGGGACTCACATTATCCAGTAGTGGAAATTTTGGCAACACTGTTACCTGCGGTAATGTGGAAAATAGGAAATGAACTTAATGAACGCAAATGTCTCCTGAGGCTTTGGCTTCATCTCACTGCCCATCATAACGTGGAAGAGGAGAAATCAGAACTGGAGAGTGACAGCTGAGATGGAAAATAAAGCGCACAAGCACACAGACACACGCATCTACATTTATCTCTCTGTATATTGAAAACCACAAGTCCGTGTGGATGGATTCAATTCCAGGCTGATCTAGCGTCCTCCTGTGTGTGTCGCTAACTCTCTTCCATGGCCGTGAGAAACCAGGCTTCCTCTCTCTGTGTTTACTTATTACTACACTAAGTCCCATACATATGAACCTTCAAGTTGTGAACTTTCAAAGATGTGAACAATTGAATCCAGCAGGGAACCAGAACCTGTGCCGTCAGCGTCAGGCGTGAGTGAAATGGCAGCTTGCCCTCCGTCTCCTGTTGCTGGAGATCCTTCAGCTCTACCATCTCCCACCTCCTCTCCCTCCTCCAGTCAGTAGCTCTTCCTGCCTGTTCACTCGATGCCAGCCCCTGTGTGCCAGCTGCTGTACTGGACTACTGTACTTTTCAAGGCACTGTACTGTAAGTTTAAAAATGTTTTATTTTTTTGTGTGTCTGTTTTTTATGTATTATTTGTGTGAAAAGTATTATAAACCTATTACAGTACAGTACTGTAGAGCCAATTGTATTAGTTGGGTACCTGGGCTGTGTTGGACTTAACAAATTGGACTTAGGATCGCACTCTCGGAAGGGAACTCATTCGTATGTAGGGGACTTGCTGTATGTTTACTTATTTCATGATTCCCCTGTATGTACAATCATCCCATCTCCATAGGGATGCGGATGGCTTGTCTAATTTACCACCTGCTTTCATGTTACTCTCCCAATGACTTAGACAAGTACCAGTCTGTCAGCTTTTGTTGCCCACACCCCATGTGGATACATGTCCCTCCTCATTCCAGCTCTGACCTTCCACCTCAGACCTCCCGCTGCACAGACCCTCTCCTCACCCATGGAGACAGACTCCAGCAGCCCTGCAGGACCATCCTTCTCACTTTTTGCAAAGGCTGATCTCCCCTGCTTCCCGGGGCTCCTGTGTCACTCATTTTGACCCTAGCAGCATGCATGCCAATTTCCTGGGATGCCGTTTTAAAATTTTGATCGAGTGTAACCTCCAGAGCATCCAATTTGGGAAGCAGGTGGTGGGGGGCAGTTAGAAAGCTGCATCCTAAGTGGTTCGGCTATAAAAGGGGTGAGGGGTCCACATGAAGGAACACTGCTGTCACTTGTGGCGCCGAGCTCTGCTTAGAGTGGACATTTGCAAATGTCTGCTGTATTGACTGGACTACAAAGCCCCCTTTATCTCCATTTCAAGGCGGGGCCGTTGTGAAAGGCTGGAAGTATGCAGGGAACAGTGCCTGCAACCCTTAGCATGGGGCGCTCTCCAAAGGCACGGACAGCCCACTGCAAGGTCACATGCGTGGCCTCTGCTGCCACCTCAGGCGACCAAGACTTTCAGTGTCAGATGGCAGTGTTGCCACCAAAGGACAGCTCAGACCATTACTGTCATCACCTCAGAGGCATCAAATGGCATAGCCCCAACCTCTGCTTCTTACACTGTGTTTCTGGGCAAACCAGTCTTAAAGCAGATACCAACCTTGAAAACATGGCTTGCTTGGCAAATTCCACTTCTTCTGGAGACACTGCGACCATCTGGCCAGTGAGCGTTAACCGGGCACAGCGGGGATCTTCTGGGTCGACGATATTTTTTCTGCATTTGAAGGACATTTTTCAGATATTAAAATGATGACAGAATGACAGCTGGACATACTAAGGATTTCATTAAAAATAGAGGGAGTTCCCTGGAGAGCCAGTGGTTAAGACTCCGCGCTTTCACTGCCGAGGGCCCAGGTTTGATCCCTGGTTGGGGAACTAAGATCCCACAAGTTGCGCACCGTGACAGAAAAAAGAAAAGAAAAGAAAAGAAAATAGTGATCACATTGCTGGTTATATTGTTCAGGTTTTTGCATTTTCTGGAATTACTTGAAAATACTTTAGCATATATGATCCTGCAATCCCACTCCTGGGCATATATCCAGACAAAACTCTAATTCATAAAGAGACATGAACCCCTATGTTCATAGCAGTACTATTTACAATAGCCAGGACATGGAAACAACCTAAATGTCCATCGACAGACGAATGGATAAAGAAGATGTGGTACATATATACAATGGAATATTACTCAGCCACAAAAAAGAATGAAATAATGCCATTTGCAGCAACATGGTTGGATCTAGAGATTATCACACTAAGTGAAGTAAGTCAGAAAGAGAAAGACAAATACCATGTGATATCCCTTATATGTGGAATCTAAAATATGACACAAATGAACTTATCTGCGAAACAGAAACAGACTCACAGGCATAGAGAACAGACTTGTGGTTGCCAAGGGGGAGGGCGGGTGGGGGAGGATGGATTGGGAGTGTGGGATTAGCAGAGGCAAACCAGTATATATAGGATGGATAAACAACAGGTCCTACTGCAGAGCACAGGGAACAGTATTCAGTATCCTGTGGTAAACCATAATGAAAAAGAATATGAACAAGAATGTATACATATGTGTACTTGAATCACTTTACTGTACAGCAGAAATTAACACAATGTTGTAAATCAACTATATTTCAATAAACTAAAAAGAAATTAAGATACTTTGGTACAGGCAGTGTGGCAGGTGTGTCTGTGTAGGCTGGATGTCAGTGTGCATCCTCGCGGGTGGCAGACAACCCCGGAAGTACCCTAGTCGAGAGTGCACAGGCCAGCGCAAGGCTCTGCAACACCCCCATAGGGAGCCACTATCCAGAGTCAGGTTGCTTCTCTGCATGACTCTAGGGAGTGCCACTCCCTCGAGATACTATGAATGGCGCCCCTGGAGTAACGCAGTGCATCTGCCTGGATCCAGCAGTGGCCAAGGTAAAGGCTTTCAGGCATCACCGTCGTCAGACACAGAGGTCCCTTACTGAACGTAAGGGATGTCAGAAATAACACTGTGTGACAAGCGTTTCCATGGTGGCAGGATTCTTCTATAAACACTTGCTTTCCTTGTAAGAGTCACCTGGCAGTGAAAGTGTGGGAGGGCAACGTAGAGCTCCCACCCACCTCTCATCATGCGAGGCTGCCTATTTCTGGAAGAAGCATAAATGGGAGAATCTGAATCTTCATTTTTCAGATCATGGCTTCATCTTAAGCCAGAAGAGAAACCTCCCCCAGGTGACAGCTGGTGCCTTACGCATTTCACCATCTCTCCATATGTGCTTGGGAAGGTGGTTCCAGGATGGGGTAACAAGATGTGTCTGTGCCGCGTCTGTGTGTGTCTGTACGTCGCCTCATTCTCTTTCATCTTCATGACGACCCCAGGAGGTAGGTGTGATTACTGACCTTGTCTTAGAGATGAGGGGAATGCGATTTAGGTAGGCTAAGAGAGTTGTCCTGGGCCATGGAGCTTGCAGGGCCTGTCGGAGCCCAGGTCCTCTGGCCTCAAGCAGGAAGGCAGCCGCCTGGCAGCCTACCACTTGTATCTGGGTGTATCCCAGACTGACCATCTCCTTCACCTCCTGGATCCTATGAGTCCTCAATGTTTATGGATTCTCTCTCTTATTATCTGATTGTGGATGCTTAGATATCATGTTTAATAACATTTTAATTTTTGGTGAATGCTTTCTCAAAAGCTCAGCTTAGGGGGAAGAAAAAAGTTCACCTTAGGGGTAAAAAAAAAAGTATCACATGACAAAAAAAGAGTGTGTGCAGAGATATCTGTTACAGCATCATTTATGATGGCAAAAATGGAAAGTAACCAGGCTTCCCTGGTGGTGCAGCGGTTAAGAATCTGCCTGCCAATGCAGGGGACACGGGTTCGAGCCCTGGTCCAGGAAGATCCCACATGCCGCGGAGCAACTAAGCCTGTGCACCACAACTACTGAGCCTGCGCTCTACAGCCCACAAGCTGCAACTACTGAGCCCATGTTCCAAAACTACTGAAGCCCGCACACCTAGAGCCCATTCTCCACAACAAGAGAAGCCACCGCAATGAGAAGCCCACACACCGCAACGAAGAGTAGCCCCTGCTCGCCGCAACTAGGGTAACCCCGCGTGCAGCAACGAAGACCCAATGCAGCCAAAAATAAATAAATAAAATAAATAAAAATTTTAAAAAACAACAAAAATTGGGAAGTAACCAAAATGCTCAGCAGTGGGAGAACATAAATAAATAATTTTATCAACAGTATGAAATACAACCTTTAAAAAGAATGAGATAGAGCTATAGGTGGCCATGAGAAAGATATAAGTAAAAAGTTAGCTGAAGACATGCAGTAGGACCCCATTAAAAAAAGAAATCCTAAAACTGTGTGTGTGTGTGGGTGTGTGTGTGTGTGTATGTATATGTGTGTGTGTATATATATATATATATATATATATATATATATATATATATATATATAATGTTTATATATGCTTAGAAAAGGTTAATGGAAGGATATATTCCAAGATATAACTTTGTTTATTTCAAGAAGGGGATTTGAGGGGCTCGAGGTGTAGGGGGAGAAGCCCCTTTTTATTTTATATATTTCTATATTCTTTGAATATTACATATGTAATGCAGAAAAGTGGTTTCCAGCAGGGGCTGGGGGGCAGATAGGGAGAGTTTGGTAAAGAGGTACAAACTTGCAGCTTTAAGATGAAAAAGTCTGAGAATCTACTGCTAACATGGTGACTCTTGTTAATAACGCTGTATTGTACAGTTGAAATTTTCGAAGAGGAGAGAACTTAAATGTTCTCACACAAAAGGCAAAGGGCAAGGAGATGGATGCATCAATTCACTAGATGGTGGGAATCTTTTCATCATGTATACGTGTATCAAATTATCATGGTGTGTGCTTTAAATATCTTATAATTTTATTTGCCAATTATACCCCAATAAAGCTGAAAAAAGACAAAAAAATAATGGTCACATAACACTATCTCCTGGTGGGCAGTCAAGGGGTAACTCAGCAGACCGGGGCTGTCCAAACCCTGCACATTCCAAAGAAAGGCCTGTCTTCAGGAGGACTGGCCCTTGGCTGGCTCCCAGAAGATACCACTGAGCCCTTGAAATTTCCTGCTTCACCAGAGTGTTTTTGTGCCTGAGACCCTGGGCCATGCTGGGTCAGCTTAACCTCTTGGACCCTGAGACTGCGTAGCTAAAATCAATCATGCAGATGCTATAATTGCCATGTGATTGGATTCCAGTAAAAACCCTGGATAACAAGGCTCAGGTGAGCTTCTCTGGTTGGCAATACCTTGAACCTATTGTCACACATCATTTCTGGGAGAACTAAGTGTGTCCCTGTATGATTCCAGTGGGAAGGGTCTCCTAGAAGCTTGGGCCTGGATTTTCCTGGACTGTGCCCCATGTGCATTTTGCCCTTGATGACCTTGATCTGTATCCTCTCACTGGAATAGACCATGAGCTCTTGAGTCCTGTGAGTCCTTCCAGCGAATCACTGAGCCTGAGGGTGGTCTTGGGACTCCCACACAGTTGACCAAGCAGACTCTGCACATGCTCTTCCCACAGATGGTGTGTATCACAAAACGGCTGCTTCCAGGAGGCACGACTCATCAGAACTCATTCCCGTCCATTATAACATTAAAGAAAGGTACATTTGTTAAGCAAAACATATGTTTTGCTTATACTTAAGGGACTTGTTTTCACCTGTCTACAAGTTTTTCTTTATTATACACTCTGTTGAGTCATAATAAGAGAAAGAGTGGACACGCCCACATATTCAGGTGAAATGCTCCATGTCAGAACACCGTGGACCATTTGAAAGTGTTACAGTCCGCTGAGGTTTCGACACTGCAAAAAATGTAGTTGCTGAACTGTGAATTTTTCAAAGATGAAAGAAAGACGGGAGGCGCTCTACACAACTGTAAACGCTGAATCAACACTGAATTTTGTAAAAAACCTGAGATGGATTGGAGAAAATAAGTAAAAATAGTAAATGGGAACTAAACATACAGATAACCAGACGAGACTGTCATCAGTTGTACCCAATTTATTTGTTTGCTATTAAAGCCAATTTTTTTCACAAAATTGCTCCATCATGAAAGCAATGAAATTAGGATTCATAAGTAAGTCATGATAGAAGAACACATTACATTTAAGAAGGGAGCATTTTGCTTCTCCAGTGGTGGAGATTACAAAGACTAGAAAGAGGATTATGTATTTAAATAGGTAAACAGAAAGCTTTATCCTTTTTGAGGATAACGGCCCCTCAAAGATGTCCACATACTAACCTCTGGAACTTGTGACTGTGTTATCTTTCACGGCCAAGGGGAATTAAGGTTGCCAATCAGCTGGCCTGGATTATGCACCTGGGCTCAATGTGATCATAAAGGTCCTTAAAAGTGGAAGAGGGAGGCAAAAGAGAGTGTTGAGGTGATATGATGGGAAAAACAGTCTCCTGGACGTAGCCGGCTTTGAATAGGGGAGGGGGCCAGAGCCCAGGAGTGCAGGCAGCCTCTAGAAGCTGGAAAAGGCAAGAGAATGGATTTTCCCCTAGAGCCTCTGCAAAGGACACCTTGGTTTTAGCCCAGGAAGACCTGTTTGGACTTCTGCCCCCCGAAACTATGGCATAATACATTTGTTCTGGGCCACTAAGTTGTGGTGGTTTGGTACAGCAGCATTAGAAAACTAATACACCGGGGCTTCCCTGGTGGCGCAGTGGTTAAGAA